TGTCTAATCAAATTGACAATCAACAAACTGCGTTATAAAATATCACACATTTGGGAGGTAAGGGTTCAAGTTACGCATTTATTCTCAACATTCTTTATTTTTCATTTCAATGCAATGTGGTCAACTAATTGTACATATTTTGCATTATCAAATAATTAGATGAAGAAATCATCGAGAACTTGATGTTTGCATGATGCACAATAGCATTCTCTAAATAGGAATTGGAAGTAATTTATTCTCAATAAAATTAATTAGAGGCATTTAACAAGTAATAGTGTTAACCATTTATTGACATTCAAACTAACACTTATTAAAAGTTTGGGAAGTAGGCTCACTATCAAACAAGACACATTTTGATTGTATAATCTGAAAATTATGCTTTTGAACAGTAATTTCGCAAATTTCAAGTTACGTACACCATACAATCATCTAGTAGATGTTTCAAGTCTCTTAGATATAAATAATATTTGATGTTCGACATGGAGGGTGACAGGACCCCATATATCAGCCTAATTAATTTTCAGAAATATAGGAAATTTAGTCCATATTTTAGTTAGTGACGATCAATGACCAATTTTTAATAAAAAGAACAAACATTATATATGAATTATTTGGATTGAAGAATTTTCTGATTCTTCATTAAGTATTTGAATTTTCAATTTCCCATTGTTATTAATCTAATGATGGTCCAACTAATAGTGCCAAACAATAATATATTCGAATACAATGTTTGCAATTTGCATAACTATTCAATTAAAAAAATAGTTAATTCTCGAAAACACGATTAACCATGATATAATCATATGAGAATCAATATTCATATGACATGAATTGTATATGTTTCTTTCAGGGATAAACATTCATTCAAAATGATATATTTTTCGAAAAATGTGCTACATCAAGAACACCTTATATTTACTATTATTTTTTCAAAAGCAATATATCAATGTATTTTTTTAAAATTTTAGAATTTTAATGCTATACTCTCTAGGAGCAATAACATACATGAATGAGATAATTAAAAAGAATGAGTATTAAATTCAAATTAAAAAGAACATGAATGAGATAATTGATCGAATGATGGACAAAAAATAGATAATAATTTAGGTGAAAAGATGAAACGTTCATAAAATATTGGCTTGAATTTATTAAGGCAAATTCAATTGAAAAAGAAAATATATTAGCGAAAGATTTACCATTTCCCGCTAACGTGAATTGACTTGATTTCCTAATCGATTAATTCAAACATATATTCATATATAATAAAAATATAATAACTATGCATACAATAAAATAATCATTGCTTCTTCAAGAATAATAAATCAATATTCCATATAAATTGTAATATCAAATCCTTCTGGGACAAGTAATATTTCGTTGGAATATTAGAATAATATAATTTTTTTTTTTCAAAATCTACATATTATTCTTCAGGAATATTAATGGAATTGTAAATTGTATTTATTCATGAAAGCACAATTAGAAACAAATTCTATTAAAAAATATAACATGAAAAAAATATTTTGATTTTTCAAGGGTAATAATACAATATTATTTTAAATGTTGTATGTGTGAATTTGTGTTTTTTCAGGCAACAAAATAATACAAATATCATATTCATTTCAAGCAATTTTATAATATTCTTCTGAAATATTGATTTAGATGTTTTCTTTTCAAAAATAATAATACAATACTCTTTTAGAACATTGATTTAGATTATTTCTTTTTGAAAACAATAATACAATATTTTTGGAATATTGTATTGAAATATTGAACTAAAAAAGAATCACATTCATATAAATATTTATTTATCATAAATTGGAATAGTTAAATCGATATAATCAAATTGAATAATTATACATCTTTGTTATACAATGTAAAGTTAATATAATACTAACATTTTCTTTGAGTAGATTAAAAGAGTTTATTTGTAAACTCAATTGGCTAGAATTTCTTGTCTTCCTTTGAGTGAAGGAAAAAACTTTGACCTCGACGGGCCAGAGATTTAAAAGCAGAAAGAGAAATAAATTCTGTAACTCAATTGTTTATAACTTTGTCTTAATAACGTGTTATAAACTAGAAAGAAAAAAAAAGGGAAGTCAATAAACTTGTATATTATATTGAGAACCAAAACCTCATATTTATATGGAAGAATAATAGATATAATGGTAATAAGAACTATAGTTGTAGGGATATAATTGTCATTCACTAATAAAATATTATTTACAACAGGTTCATTTATTTTATCATTCCCAACAAAATATATTGTTAAATAATACCAGGTAGTAATTAAAAATTAAACTACATGACATTTGTAATTAAGAATTAAATAAAACTATATTTGACCAATTCTACTCTTAATCCGTTCAGAATTTAATAACTCAAAAGAAAAGGAGGATCATCCTAACATACTTCACATTAATAAGGTGTCCTCAATTTTGAGAGATTCTAATTGATTTTAAAAGATTATAAATTTTATTGAATTTTGTGAATCTGAATAAGTTTTTAATTTTTATAAGAGAATCATGCTACACTTACCAAATTTTTTAGGGAAAAATTCATTTATCCTACTTTATCTTTACCCTATTTCAAAAATAACAAAACAACTTTCACATTTCAAAAATCAGATTTTTTGACCTATACATACACATATTTATAAATATTTATTTATATATTTAAATATATAAAAAGATATAAATAANTACATACCCCCACCCCACTGCTCCGACGACTATTTCGGCGACCGCTCCGGTGCCGATTCCGGTGACTACCCCGACTCCGATGATCGTTCCGACGACTCAGGTCACAAGTCACAGTTCAGGTCACAAATCAGAATTTTGTTTATAGTCACGAGTTATTTTCAAATGATCACAGCACATGTCAAAAATTTTATATGTCACAGATTATTTCGAGATCACAAATCAATAATTTTATAGGTCACAGATTATTTTATTGGTCACGAATCAAAAAATTACAGGTCACAGATTAATTTTTAGTCAGAATTTGTCGAATTTTAAGATCACGGATAGTCCATTATGCGGTCACAATTAATCTAATCTATGACCACCGTCAATAGTTGTGCCACCAATTCAACGCTGTCTCTAACAGCATCACCACCACCGTCCACCGCTACCACTACACCAACAGCACCCACTCAACCACTAGATCTACCACCATCACCCACCTCCACCGCAGCTAGAAACCACCACGACCACAACCAGACATCACAAAAAAATAGATACAAAACCGCCAACACCCCACAACCACCATCACAACCNTGCCGCCTCCGCCACATCACCACTACGTCACGATTTGAAAACCACAGACGGAAACAAAAACAAAATCCAAGACCACCTTGCCGCCACACCGCCACCACCAACCACAATAGGAAACAAAAACCAAAAATTTGGCACCATACCACAATAGCAACCATCAGAGAAATCAAACTCAAGGCCAACGCACCGAACTGCACCCCACCATCATCACCGAACTGCACCCACCACTGGTTGACGATGACAGAGCAACGAACCTTCGCAGCCATAAATCGACACCGCTTTGAATTAGGGCAGCAGTATAATCGACGCCATAAATCTAGCAATGTATCATTTTTCTTTATAGAATTCATAAAAATCTCATTGAAAATTGTAAAATTTCAAAAGAGTTGTTATGTGCATTTTCAAGTTTGAAATACATTCAAATCTTTTGAAATTCACATATTAATTAAATTTTAAAAAATACACGAGTTATTGAGAACTTGATTTTAAAGGATTTCATTGAAATTTATTAAAATTTCAAGGTACATAAATTTTAATAAAATTAATTAAATTCTCAGTAGGATACCTGAAATTAGAAATATTTCTAAAATACATCAACGTGTGACACGTTTAAATAAAAGTGTAGGCTTTATCTTTGTGGATTGATATACAAATTGGACTCGAAGGTAAATAATGATAATATTGCATAGAGACTGGAGTCTTACAAATCCAACTGTGACGTTCCCCCTTAATGTAATTAATATTTATTATTATTAAAAAAAAAATTTCCTTCTTCTTTCCTTCTTATCTTTTTATTCTATTATATTATTATTTTTGAATTATTTTAGGATTTAAAATTTATACTTAGACATATCAAAATAAAACCAAAATATATCATGAAAATTAAATTAATAATATAAAGAGTTTAAAACACCGTCAAACTTATATTATAACCAAAAGAGGCTTACTTTACAAAATACAGTTAATGAGTTAGTTATAGACCATTCAAAAATTCTAGTCAAAAGAAGTGCCTGCTAACTTTCAAAAAATATTCTAATCTATAGCAGACTAATATGGCGGTATACCCATGTAAGCTAACTCATGCCATATTTACTACATTCTTTTACCATTTTCCATCACCTACCTTACATCACTATCTACTCTACAGATAGCATAGTATTTACATATCGCCCTGTGATCAAGTCATACACGTCAACCATTACCAACACAAAATCCTTATATTCTTCAAAAGTTTCAATACCTTCAACATTGTCAACAACCATATAAAAACGTGTGTAGTGAGTG